TTCGAATCAGAATCCAAGAACATAAATCAGCCGTGAAAAGACATGATATGAATTCTTTAGTATCAATGCATGCAGACAACTATGGTCATCAGTTTGATTGGGATCATGTCAAAATCTTAAACAGAGGAAACACGAAAAGTGCCAGAGAATTCCTAGAGGCCTGGTACTGAAGCGAAAATGCGATTAACAAACACGTTAATATAGATGAAGTATACCAATTAATAAAAAGTAAATCAGGTGACCAAAAAGTTTAAAATCCTAGTCAATAGAAAGTGGTCAATACATATTTGAAGATAGTAACCAGGAGACGCAATTACATCACGCATGAGGAAATTTAAATCATTCCACTTCGTACTAAATATGGCGCTGAAGATGCTGTCCGGAAGGACGACGAAAGCTTCGCGACTAAAACAACCAGCTCAGAGAACGCTTTTAATTGTATATCAAAATCATTTACCTTATCTTCAAATCTTCTCTATTATTTCAGTGTACAAACGTATATATATAATATGTAAATGTTAGGATCACGCTTGCTGTATATCATCCTGGTTAAAAAGAAGATACACAACAAAGGCAAGTCTTTGAAGTGAAGACTGGAGTTAGAGAAAGGCTGCCTGATATCACCAATGATATTATCCAGTGTGGTGGACTGGATCATGCAACAGACCGTGGGGAGCAAGAAGACAGAAATACTCTGGACTGATAAGATTCCAGAAGATCTGGATATCGCGGAGGATTTATGTCAAATGTCACATGAAGTCAAAAGATATACACGCGAAAACCAACAAGCTGGAAGAAGAGGCAGGCAGCGAAGACTGAACTTCAGTTGAACAACCAGACTACAGAAGTGATGAAGGCAATCGACAAGCACCAATCATTCTTAACGGAAGGTGATTAAAGGAGGTTAACTTCTCTCACTTATTCTGTAGGCATCATTTCAATTATAGGTGGCAAAGCTGAGGAATTCCACTCAAAGAACTGAAAAGCAAAACAGACCTTCATCATTGTGATATCAGTTTACAAATCCGCCGCACTCCAGTCAGCTGTCCTTCTGTATAGTTCAAAGACTTGCTGTCTGCGTAACCACGAGCCTTTCTAACAGGCTTTCGTGAACTTTTATCAGTAATCTCCTTCGATGTTTACTGAAGACCAGATGACCTGTTGGAAGTGATTAGCAACAAAGACCTCAAAAAAGTGGATCAACCAAGAACCTTTTCGGTGATTTCATTCTCAAAAGATTTTATTTGTTTTGTTCTCTCTGTGTGTATTTGTCCTCTCGTTGTCTTCATTCAATGCATCCTAATTTTTCAGTTATAAAATCAGTTATTTTAAGTTTGTTTCCATGCTCCTCCTGATCAAACTTGCAATCCGTTTAGAATAACTATTTTACAGTTGTATTCTTATCCTATGTAATATTTTGTTTCTATATCACTTGTAATTTATATTCACACCTCCTACCTTACATTTTAAGTTGAAAATTTTGATTTCAATTTGTTTCCATGTTCATTTTGTTCACACCTGTAATTCATTCTATCCCTGCATAACTTTTGTTTCTTAGCCTCTCCTCGTAATCCATGTCAGGTTGAAAATAATTATCAACTTTTATGCGCCTATAAAATTGTTTCTCCAGTTATCATATATTAATTTTGCATACATTGTAACTGTTTTCAAATCCTATGCAATCTTGTCTCTAAGCCCCTTTTAATCTTTATTCGTACCTTCAAACTTTCATATCAAGTTGAAAATTATTATCTCCTTCGTTACTGTGTGGAATTGAATAAATAATAATAGTATCCATGTAAAGTAATCTATACAAATGCGATTGTACAGCTGCTTTTGAGAATGAAATCGCCGAAAAGGTCGGTATCTTTGCTGAACTTCTTGTTCTTTTCCTTCCTGTCTCCCGATGGGTATTTTCCACAAGAACCTTTTGTCGAAGAAAGATGACATGAATCAAACCGTATATTGTTATCGTGTGTATGTCAGGCCATCACTCGAGTAGAACCCAAATGAAGGACGAAGAGTTGGGTGTAGGGTCTTATGATTTTATAGAAGAAATGAAAGCTTTAAAAACTCCATGCAATTCTTCCCATTAATAAACGTGAGCGAAGCAAGAACAACAGTTGTACCAGGATAATATGAACTCATCTTTTATTATTTCGAAAAGAATTTTGAGAAGAATCCTCGAAATAATAAAAGATGAGATCATATTATCCTGGTACAATTGTTGTTCTTGCTTTGTTCAAATGAAAGCCTTTTGGCATTTGTAGTGCGCCACCTAAAAGGGATTAGAGAGAACATACCGAGATGGAAGCGTTCTCTTGAAACCAAATGTTCCTTGTCTCAACCTAATGAGAGTAATAATAACAACAATAATAACGATGAATCTAACAAACAGCAACTGGGAATCAAAATCATATATTTCTTCACAAAAAAATGAGAGAAAAAAGAAAACAGAAAAAAACGACTAACAAATATAATTTTTTTTATATACTAAGTAAAATTTACTCAAATTTGAAAGAAAAAAAATATATTTATGTACTCAAGAACGAAACTTTTTTTTGCATAAGTTATATACTTAATTGTTTTTGTTTTGTTTATTATTATTTTGTTTAGAAAAGAAAGAAGTCAATTTATCGATTTTTATATCGTCATTTTTACTAATTGTGTGTGTTCACATCGATTATTATTTATTGATTTTTCTTTTGTCTGTCACACTATTACATGCATTGTACAGATTATTCAACCAGGTGACAAATACTTCTACTGTTATTATTATTATTATTACTATTACTAATAATAATCATTATCATAATATTGAGTTGAACTAAAAGTTTATCGAAAGCCAGTCAACAATTACAAGAGTCTTATGATTAGAAGGTTTGTGCAACAAGACATATTCATTTTCATTTAGGCACACACACTCATCCACAGACATACATTAACATCAAAATAAAACAGTCAAACGATAAGAGAACATACAGCTACACACTATACTCTATTTAACAACTAACAGTTTTATAATACTACTTAAATACCACTGAAATATCAGTAGTATAAGAATGAGGAGTGAAATTATTATTACTACTAGTGATGAATTTAATCTTTTGTTACATCGAAAAAGCACTGACTGCATTCACCAAGTTTCAGTGTACAAAAACAAAATCTCATTCTGTGGCTAAAGAAACATTCAAATTATTATTATTATCATTATGTATAAGGAAAGCACAAAAATCCGTTGAAAACAAAAATGAATCACATGAGCGCGAGCACACACGCAGACACACACACACGCAGAAACATACACCTAAAGAGACTAACACACACGTGAACACACACACACACACGCTCACGTGAACGCACAAACAAAGATTGACAAGATTTGAAACCAACGGCAGAAAAAAAAGAGAATATAAACGAACAACAACAGCAACAGAAAAAAACACCAATAATGCATAAAATAATAGTTTCTATTGGCATTTGTCCATTTTATTTTATATTCAAATTTGTTTATTTTCACTGTGTATGAGTGTGTGTGCATGTGTGTTCATCTCATCTCCTAAAGGTGATTTTTTTAAAAGTTGTTTATTGAACAATGAATCCAGGTGTATTTTTGTTTAAATGTACCACGGAAAAATTGTAAAAGTCATGTGATTCTCCTCATATATATATGTATGTGAAATGAGCATTTTCAAATTTTCCGCCTTTCTACGTCCTTGAATTTCATCCTTACACCTACGCAGGCATACGCGCGCGCTTGCGCACAAACTAACACACTTAAACAAAACAAAAATCAATATCTCATATGAAGAATAGCACAATAAACGTTCGCGTCCATTTGAAAAGTGATTTCAGATTAAGTAAGATAAAAGAGTTGAACTGCACAAAAATAATCGCAAAGTAGAATCAAACAACACTGAACAATAGAAAACAAGAAAAACGTGGGCATGGGGACATTTTGAATTGGCTCTAGTGAGTGTGTTTGTGTGTACATTACATATTTCTAGGTACATATTACTACATATGCTTGCTTACATGTATATGCGGTTTTTATTTTTTGAGGTTTTTATTACTAAAATAACTTTCATCCATTTTCATATTGGTAAAATAGGTGGGAAGGTGAGAAGAGTGAGGGAGGGAGGGACACACAGAGACAGAGATAGCGGAAGCGGAAGCAGCCGGGGAAGGGGCTAACAGAAATAAAACCACAAGACATTTAGAGGCGGCCTCTTAAGCATAAAGATAAGGGCGAAAACTGGGTGTTGACCGATCGACTGAATGACTGCTAAAACGGAACAACTTATCACTCATAGAGGTGGAGGTGATAAAAGGCTAGTCTAGCAGGAAGTTGAAGAGGGAGTGCGGTAACAACTGAGTTCAGGTGGTGTAGTTGGGAATAAAAACAAACCAAAAAATATATGTATTGATATCTGTCACTAAAAGTTACCCTCCTGACTCTTACAACACTATTTCATAGAAAGGACAATTGGGTGGTGGTCGAAGGGAGGGATAGGGTAAGCGAAATCGATTGCATCTTGAAAATATTTATTTTGAAAACTCCTTACTTGTGTGCATATGCCGACTGAACCATACACACAAACACACACACACACAGACTCATGTCTTCAAAACGCCTATACACACATAATCACATGAAACAGACCAACACTGATGGGTGCGCTCACTCAGCCACCCACCCACCCACACACATACACACACAAATAGCACATCAATCTGTGTGTCATTAAAAATCATAAAAACTCTGAAAAAACAAACAAACAAACAGAAAAACAGACTTCTACTAATAAGAGAATAGAATTTTAAAGGGTATATCTGTAGGGGCAGGTGTTCAATATTCCAAAATGGATGGATCGATATTTGAGAATATTATTTTTTTCTGTTTTTTGAACAAAAGTCTTATCACCTATCAATTCACAACAATCAGAAATAGACAATTTTAGAATGTCCTCTATTGAATAAAGAGGTGTATAGTTATTGATTTATATTGACTGGTAAATGTTTGATATTAATGGGCTTGCAGTCCAATTGCCAGCAGGTTGTATCACTATAATAAAAATAAAATTCAAAGTGAAAGAAATAAATACTTTCTATTGTTTGTTTGATTGAATCAGTAATTACTTATGTTGATAAAGTAAAACACACATTTAAATGAACATAGAACAACGAACGACCTTGGTAGTGATGATCTTGACAGTGATAATAAAAAGGAATGTTTTATCGGTCAGATTGGTAATATTGTCACAATTTATGGGTTCCCGTGGTTTTGCTTAATGAGCTTTCTAAATAGGACTTAGATAAAAATGTTGGGAAAAGGAAATTGTGTTTTCCTTGAGAAAATTATATTTAGAAGTTTTTTGTTTTAGGTTTTTTTTGTGTAATTCAATTACACACTAATCGTTTAATGGTAAATTTGTTTCTCATCGTTTCAAATTTTCTTTCCCATTGTGAAGTATACTAAGATAAGGGAAATTGATTTCACAATGGGTTTATCCCTATTCACACTAGACAAAAAGTCTTACAGAGCACTAGAAAAACATTTTTTCCATGCTGTTACATGGTAAGAGGCTTTTAGGAGCCAAACAAAAGATTAGACATTTAACTGCTGGATAGTGACTAGCAGTGGAATCCAGAAGAGCATTTCGTCCTGTTTGGGACTCATCAACTGGATGTACAGGGTTCGAGTCTCGTTTATAACATCAACACTCTATGGAGGATTCAGGCACATCCAGCTAGCAGATGAGTCACAAATAGGACGAAATGCGCATCCTGGATTCCACTGCTAGTCACACTTCACCAGTTAAATTTTAACTACATGTCCAGACATCATCGAAGCATCTGCACAAGAAGCCGACATGTCAACCTGAAATGAGAGAAGGTTGCCTTCCATGCGTGACAACATTCCAGTATGTGGTGGACTGGATCATAATGCAGACGGTTGGCGGCGAGAAGACATGAATATGTTTCACTGGCGATAAGATATAGACTTCGCGAATGACTTATGTCTAATGTCACAAAAGGTTCAAGTTCCGCAAGCGAAAACCAGCAAGTTAGCATAAGAGATAGGCAATGAAGACAGGAGATCAAGTGAACACAGAGAAGACAGGGGCGATGAAAACATCTAACCAACAGCAAGAAGTACCAATAACTTTCGATTGGAGAAATCTAAAGAAATCCGTTTCTTTCACTTATCAATGCAGGATTGGGAAAACAAGACCAACCTTCATCACTCAGAAATCAATTTTAAAAGTCTTTTGTACATAGCATAAAGAACAAGATTTAAACTTCCAACCTTAATCTCAAGTCAGTCAGTTCTTCTATATAGTTCAGAGACGTGATGCACACATTACTGAGAGCATTTCTAACAGGCTATTGTGAAATTTCATCAGCAGCTGCCTCCTTTTCATAATGAAGTTCAGATTAACAGAAAATGAAAAGTAACAAGGAACTCTTTCAAAGAACCAACCGAAAAAGTATTGTCTAATAAATACGCAGAGAGAAAAGGTACTGGATTAGATACATATTGAGTAGGCTATTGAGTGACATTAGACAGTGATGTGCCCTTGAGTGGAAGCCAAATAGAAAATGACGTGTTGGTGGTGGGTCCAAGGATGATATGAAATAGATCACGTGAGGAGGAATGACAGTCTATAGACAATCGTCAGGATGAAAGGAAGATCTTCTGTTGAAGCTACATAATCTAAATGGAACCCAAGGGAATAGTAATAATAAGTCCAACAGGATTCTTAGATGTTCTGTTTGCCCTGCGTGATTGTGAATTTCGTTATAAAAGCTTTCGATATCATATAAGGCATGCTGTTTTTCCATTATTGGTTTTTATCTTGACTTTGTTTGATTGGTTGGAGGAGCTGACATCACTTTAGAGCCATTGGAAAAGGTGACAGCAATGGACAGCTGTTTCGTCCTTGTCTGAGATTCCTCTTCGCACGTGAATTTCATAGCCAAATGTACTTCATTGAATTCAGTTATTATTGTACTCCTATCCGAATCATTATCACAAAGAATGAAGGTGTCATCCACATACATGCAATAAAATGAGAACTTTCTGATAAGGTTGTTCAAAGATCGATTTTCTAGTTTACTTAGAAAGAAATCAGCTCAGAATGGGACCCAGTGGGGAGCCCATCACCACGTCGAAATTAAAACTACTGTCCTCGATGTATTCAAAGCCACAAATCAACCAGTAGTTCATCCAAGCCACATCGAAGTCATCCAACCGGTGGACTCCTAGTCATATCAAGCAGTCTTAAGAACACATCTCATAAGATTTGTATATCTCTGTTAGCATATCGATTAATTGACAGACTGTCTGTAGTCCTCATCGTTGATATTATTATTATTCCCTAGGAAACAGTTGCTTAGGGCTTAATTTAATTTTCTCTTTTCTAAATCCATGTCAATATTAATTTATGCTGTCTTACTGATTTCAACGCGCTTTCTTTAATCGATCACACTTAGCTTTATTAAACATGGATGACTCACATATATATATACATATATATATATATGCATATATATGTATATATATATATATATTCACGATTATTCTGCTTGACTTATGTTTATACCATGGCATTTCCAGTCTTAAGGATTATTGTTGTGTTTTGCTTCAGTCTGCATGGCGAATTGCATATATAGTCAGAATTTTACGATGACTCATCAACCTTCACACCCAGTAACAATAATAATAATTATTATTATTACATTGTACGTCATCCTACTGTTGTTGTCTGGTTTGAAGTGATAAGAATCCGCGATATAATCCATAAACAATTTTGACCTTATCGAAAAAAGGATAAGAATAAGAAGGAGAAACAGGAGAACGATAATAAAAGTAATAATTATGCTTCGTGTGTTTTTCTGCCTATGTTTGCTATTTTTGATGTTGTTATGATGGTTAATGTGTAAAGGTGAAGGATGGGTTGATGGGTTGAACACTTTCCATTCCTCTTATATTATATAAATGTCAGCTTAAATTTTCCTTTTTTTTTATTAAATGTCATGAGAAACAAGAAACGATTCACATCCTTGCAAATCAATACTTGGAAATTACTTTTATAACCACTTCTGATTATCTTTAGAGGAAGTTGCCAGGACTCCTAGTAAGGATTCCTGACCAGTGGAGAGATATTCACCCATGAGATTGGCTGGCTATGGTGTTAAGATTGCGAATACATTAAGGTCTGAATTTAAAGCTCCCTGGGTTGGGTTCCATTACCTGAATGGTCTGTTAGCTTGACTCGTAACCAGTAAGTCATGGTTTCAAGGCCTGATGAGTCTCAAACTAGGACGAAACAGCTAGCCAGTACTCCTTTTTAGTTACAAATGCTTCTCTACTTGATATCGATTCATGATCAAACTTGAGAAAGAAAATCAAATCCCTAAGAATAAATTCTTGAAAATTAATCTAATGTTCGCTAGTGACTGGATGCAGGGCGAAGTTTTCTCGAGTTCTAATGAGAAGTCATGGTCACAAGGGGTCCACCCAATGGGAAGTGAGGACACATACTCGCCAATCACGTTAAAATCACGAATCGATGGAAATCAGAATTCATAGGCTTGCCATTGCATTGGGTCTTGGTGGTTGAGTGGTTAACTAGCTTGCCCCAATACCTGAGGGTACTGGATTCGATCGGCTGTTCGGGTACATGGCTGCGTACTGGTGAGGAGTCCCAAACTAGGAAGGAACATATATCTAGTATTCTGTGCTGGTTTTTGATGGTTCTCTAATTTATATTAATCCGTGGTGAAATTTGAAAAACATAACAAATCCCAACAAAAAATAAGACTTGAAAATACAATCGATAACTCACTTGGACCAATCATTGTAGGCGTGACAGGTGTATGCATAAGAGCTTGTGACAGTGAATAACTGTCAATCGGCCTGGAGAAGGGAAGTAAGGCGGTAACAGCTGCTGCAGCAGCAGCAGCCGCGGCAGCTGTCGGTCCAGTTACTAATCCATGTTGAACAGGCGTCTGGCTATGCAGTAGACCATTAGGCGGTGGTACTTTCTGTTGAGATACTAAACTTGTCAGATGTCCTGTTGGATTTGGAATTGGCAATAGGCCACGATTGCTTTCATTACTTGAAGGCAGATTATTTTGTCCTATAGAATTACGTAGTAGGAAATTTGGATTCTGTAGAGTATTCGATGCCCAAGCAGCACGTAATGCAAGCATAAATGAATCGGAGTTGTTCAATCGATTTGTAACATCCCATGAAGTGAAGTCTGCAGCTGGGCCTAATACACCAGGTGTTGATCTTAGTCGACTGTTACCATGATTGCCTAGCTGATTTTCATTTGGCAGTAGACAATCGGATTGTTTACGTGTACGGGAATGTCGTGAATTGTCTTCGCTCCCGTTGATTAGTCCACCTGGTGTTGTTGATTCAGGCGGTTCACTGCTACGTTTCACTGGTCTTGATTTTGTACTACTAGGAAAATAAAAGGCAGTTTAGAGAAAAAAAAGAAGCAAGTTATGCTCAAGTTAAATTCAATTAGCTATTGATTCATTATTTTGTATTTTTTAGTGTAGTTAACGGTTATTATGAGATATTTAGTGATCGATTCAATTTCTTACACTGAATAACATAAAACTGGTTCACTAATCTAGAAAGCAACCGTGAAAAAAAGAAGGATGGAGGCGTTTGTCATACTGGAAAATTGGCATTAGCAACAGGATCATATATCCGTATGTGGATGACTTTTGATATTCCATGAGACGTACTAATTCATAGTTGTGATAAATTCAGTATCTAGGATCTGTTCTACCTAATCACTTCTTCTTCGCCTTATTATTATTGTTTATTTTAGTTCCTAGATGAACAGAGGGCTTCAGCCGCACGTCTCTATTTCATTCGGTTCTATCTAGACGTTCTCATCTTGTTCCACTTCTGTCCACATGCTTTCATCTCCACTTCACATGACCTCCTTCATGTCACCTTCGCACTGGCGACCAAATCGCTGCTTCACATTCGGGTTCCACTTTAGGTCCTGTCTTGTAATGTCACTTGATGGTTTTCTCAAAGTATGATCGATTTACCGTCATTTCCTCCTGAATATTTGTTGTACGATTGATTCCTGTTGGGTTGATTCGCTCCCAGGGATCCCTGGGGCTGATTTTATCTGGTCGGTTATCTGATCTTGAGTATTGAGTGAAGACAACTGTTGATGAAGATCCGTAGTTTGTCTGAAGTGTTGCTCATGACGCACCAAGTCTTTCGTGTATAAAGTAGCACTGACTTCACATTGGAGTAGAAAATTCGGATCTTATTTTCATTTTTGGCTGAGTGTTGACCTCCACACAAACTTGGTGAGAGTAATGAAAGCTTGTTTTGCTTTCCCGATACTCGTTTTGATATCCTCATCAGTTCCATGCACCTGTAGTTGAAACGATGCTTCCCAAGTAGGTAAGTAAATGAGGTTGCTTCTTTCAGATTTCTCCCATTTCTCCCACGCTGGCTGATTGTTGTCTGTTGTTTCTTTTACTGCTGACCTGGAATCTTCATCACCTCTGTTTCTCTATGTTACCCTGAAAGCGTATCTTCTCTGTATGCTTCTTGTGCCAACTTGCTGCTTTTCACTTGCATATCTTCCAGTTTGTGGGAAATCAGACATGTGTCATCGGCAAAGTCCAGATCGTCCAAGTTTTTTTCCGGGTCCTGTTTCCTCGCTTCCCGCTGTCTGTCGCATCATCCAGTCTACCGCCCACATTGGAGACAGTAGGCTGCTGGTTCAATATATTCTTCGGTAAGCTATGAGCTGTCCTGCTCACAACAGTACGAACGTATTCGCCTAAAAATATACACACGTCTTACTTCTTTCGAGATATACTGGCCTGGTAGGTTACTGTACACAATAAACTGCACCGGAAACAAATTCATAGTGCTCCATAATAATGTTTATGCTCTAGTAATCATCAGTTGTCATAAAATGACAGGCATAACCACTTCTATGTGCATATATCAGTTCACCTATTCATTTGTGGAGTCAGCTGTATTGGTCGTTCGATGTGTATTCTGTCTAGAAGGGTTCAAGGACGGCCAAGTTAAACTTTAAGCACTAGTATCTACCAACGCAGTGTGACCACACCAGTGACCTTGAAGCGCTCAGTGTGCAAGTTAGTGAAGCCTGGTAAATAATATTGTAGTCATGAATGGAATATACTTAATGAAGTGTTATGCAATTAAATGGGATATCTGGCAAGTTTCAGGTTAGGTCTGGGAATGATTAAGTTAAGGTTTAGGCCAAGGACAGATGAGGGTTAGTTTAACCTAAGAAGGGCGACATTAGAGTCGGTTCGAGTTAGATTACGGTTAGATGGAGGATTTCATCATGGGCTGACATCAGTTAGAGAACAACTAGAAAACCAGCCGGGAGTACTGGACAGCTGTTTCCTCAGCTTAGTTTGGGACTCTTCAGCAGTACGAACTCACACTGCGGGGTTCGAACGCAGGACCTTCTGGTTACAAGGTGAGCTAGCTCATAGACCATTAAGCTACTGGGACCCAATCCAATGGTTCTTGAATTCTCACTTCTACCGATTCACGACATTAGTGGTTCTCTGAATGATATCAGCTTATGATGAAATCCTCCATGCAATCAAACAAAATCCACACAAAACCAATAATTGAAATGTGTTCATCACATTAAAACGTGCGCGCAAATTGAGCTGCTAGATGATATTTGTACATGCGTAAAGCGACGACAACAACAATAAGGAACTTCAGTCATCAGTAATACTTCCATACAAAGAAGGAGCCTCGAGAATCTTGCGTAGAGTTCTTAATAGTGCAGGGATAAAAGTGGCTGGCATTCAAACTACCCACAAGCTCAATTAGAACCGGGCTTTGTCGGTTAAAGGATTCTGCTAGTGCAGCTAATTAAACAAAACAACTTGGTTTATCTAATACTCTGCTGGAATGATTGTCAGGTCAAATACACAGGTCAAAGTAGTAGACCAGGGTCATTCAGACTTGTGGAACACTAAAACCTATTTGACCCTAATAAGAAATCTGGAGAATAGCTCAGCTAAAGCACTACATGCAGTTACACACTAACATGCAATAGGATGACGGGATAAGATGACAGTTTTAAAATCTAATATCACAGGGTAGACGGACAGATTGATAAGGGAAGTATTATTTATCGAATCAAACGAAAATACATGCAATAGGAATGATTCAACACCTGTCCCGGAAATAGGGAAATTCTACTACTTATACGATGATTACGAAGGAATGAAGAAAACTAAAAAAAGGAAAGTCTCGAAGTTGTGTTATTACAACTGATGACATGTGTATAAATAATAAATTGTTTTCTAAAAGTCGTTCAGTAAATAATCCCGTCTAGCTGTGTGATTTATCTAATAAACAAATTAATATGAAATGACTGAGCTTAGTATAGATTCCAATCCAGAAGTCGAATGGTTGATATTTGTGCTGTTAATCGATAGCACTGTAATTCAGGAAGCACAATTCATCAATCTATTTAGTCTCGTTAACTGGATGTACCTTCATTCCTAGTGAGTGTAAAGGTATTCATACTGCGACTCTATTCCTGCATCAGTCCTTTCAAAAGCCAAAATACTATGCATTAGGCTTTGGGAACCACCTCTTATGCAACAGATTACATTCACGTTAACCGCTACACTTCGACAAAGTGTCTATAATGGGTGTCGATTTGTCAACAAAGACCGAACACGGACACGTTGGTCCAAAAGAGTCAATCAACTGGCAGCATAACTTAACTTCTAGAAAATTTTAATTCACCTGCCGACAGTGACCCTTGTAAGAGCTGAAGGTTGGAAGCGACGCCCGCATTTCAATCCTATGAAATCAACACTACTGTTACTGAAGCTTTAATAAATGATGTTGTTGCTTCGATTGACGGTATCATAAGATTTTTGAGCAGTTGTGAACCCTGTGAATGGAGTTATTTCAATACACTGGTTTACAATGGAGTCTCAGATTAGTATTCATCTAGTTTTTTGTGGATTTTTATATTGTCTTATTTCTTAAATGTCAACCGAATCCACTCGTCTATCAAATAATTCACGTTATTTTCTGACTACTGCTATTCAGATGACCATAATGTTCGCGCGCTCACACACACGCGCACCAACTAACCTACACTCACTCATACACACATCCACACGCACATATACACACATTTTTGACAACATTTGTAACGTGTTTCTAAAGGCAAAATTGAATTCATTTTATCCATTTTTTGTGGGTAGTGATCCGTATAAAAATATGACAGTTTGATTGTTACACACCGAATATTTTCTGCGTACCTGCTCATTCCTGTGTTGCCTGTGTGTGTGTTTGTGTGTATGTGCGTGTTTAACCCTTTTTGGTGTTTGCGTGTGTATTTATAGGGGAAAAGATCAATGTTTGTTACATTTAGTTAATAATGGTCATGGTTGATATGTAATGGTTTAACTCACTACTCTTATTTAGAAGTATGAATTTTATTAGGTGTTTTGGATTAATTTTATGGCGAAACGGCGTCTGTTAGAGAATAAGTGAAAACTAGAAGGTACTATTATTATTATTATTATTAGTATTCCCCTGGGTTCCAAGCGGGACATAGGGTTTCAACAACACATCTCCACTTCCTTCTATTCGGCGCCATCCTCTTCATCTGGGCCCATGACCTCCCATAATCTGTCATCTCCTCCTCTTATGATCCTTTCCTTGTCACCCTCGCACTGAAAGCCCACTCGTCATTTCCCATTAGGATTCCATTCATGGGATGGCCTGCACTGAGTGCCATTTCATTCGACGGCCTCTTCAACGTATGCCTGGTCCATCTCCATTTCCCCCTACATATTTGTTGAGCAATCGGTTCTTCTTCGTTGACCGGTTCCCAGCCAGAGTTTCTCGTTGCCGATTCTTTCTGGCCGGCTAACCGACTATTTGACAAAAGTCTGCCACCTGTGGGAAATCCTTTTCGTGACCGGCCAAGTTTCTGACCCATATAGAAGGGAAGCGACTGACCTCACATTTTCGTTGAAAATCTGAATCGCGTTCCTAACACTGGCTGGGTGCAGAAGATTTCCACACTGGTTTCAGGTTGATGAAGGCGTGTTTCACCTTTCCGATTCTGGCTGGCTGGCTGGCTCTGATATCTTGATCCGTTCCTATGGCTTGTTTGAGACCGTGCTTCCTATCCTTCCTTCCTATCTGTTGAATCTCTCCCGTTGCTGGTGATTCGCGCTGGTTGCTGTGTCTGTTGATGGCGGCTGGTTATCTGCATCATCTTCGTCTTCTCCAGGTTCGCCTCGATTCTAACATTAAATATAAATCATCTGTCAAATCCAGATCTTGTAAAAGTCTTCTTATCGGTCCAGCTTATTTCTATCTTCTCACTCTCCACAGACTGATGCGTAATCTTGTCCACCACAATTAAGAATATCATCGGTGATAATAGGTAGCCTTATATTACTCCTGTTTTTACTTCAAGGGCTTTTTCTTTGAATTTTCCGTTGTGGATTACCTGACACGCGACATTGTTATACAGCTACTGAGTGAGATTGATAAAGACTTTCGCACTGCACGCCATAGTGTTGAAGCAGTTTCCAAATTACTTCTCGGTCAACGCTATCTATCGAAGGCCTTTTTGAAGTCAATGAAGTTAAGCTACAGGTTAGAATCCCATTTTGTGCACTTATTCTTTATCTGCGATCCATACATCTGTAGATTTGTCCACTAATGTCATGAGACTGGCGTTACATCGACACTTTATTACTGCTAAAACAAGAGAATGACAGTCCTCTTCCCATCAGGATATTGACGATACGATACCGGAAAACCGTCCGTAAATATTGCAAGGCATGCACCACGAAAGTGTTAGGTCCATGTTATCATGGGTACCACCTCTGACTAGCCACTCCAAGGTCATTATGGCATTGGTTGTCTTGGATTTCTATAGTTTACCACTAATATAACTTTATTTCATAATGTTTGATATGTTGTGTAGAATCACATTTTCCTTGGTGCTACTGTTTCTAAATCGAATGTTCTAGCCATCTGCATATACATTGATAACAGAATTACTTAAACGCTCAGTCCTATTCGAGATCATTGGAATGCTATTTACTACCACTTCCTATTGAGGTAATGTTTGGGAATGTCGAATGGATTGGCAGTGAAAATTTTGCCCCATCCAATAAGCCATTTTTAAAGAAGGTAGCCGAACGGCAAATGAAGTCGCCTTGTAAATTAAGTGACCTGTTTTTGATCTCTGGTGTGGCTGGCAGAAAAATTCCTAAACCTTCCCTAGTTTGACGTCTGACATTAATCCCAACTAGCAACCGCACCCTATGAAACCAGAACCTCAGCCACTAAAACTTCAAAGGCCGAAGCTTCAAGCCCTATGCTCCAATTGGAGGTCAAGGGGTGACAAAAAGAAGGTAACATCAACAAAATCATCTGCTTAAGATACAAATATTCTCAACAATAAGAATGTGATGAGCATTGGTGTAATGGTGGTAGATTACTCGACAAACACGCCCCAAGTGGTTTGCGGTTCGATCCCTGGATTATAGACTCCTAAACTTTGCAAAGACGGTAGCAATCCCGGTAAAGAGTTAAGTTTGAGCTTGAGGCTAGCAATCCCATGCTATTCAAAGCTTAGGCTTAGAGCTCTGTGTTATAACAGGAAAGCAAAGGAGCAAAATGAATACGATTACGTTAGATCTTTGGAGAATTCCATGGTATTGCTCACTAATCAGTTAAATCCTAGTCAATATTCTATTAGTCCACGTTTCTTCGATTCTGTACACAGCTGAGTATTACTTACTTTATTTTAAAAGAGGATCAGAGGAATAACCAGTATTCCGTCATAGCATTGCAACTAACTATAGGTGATCTCAACTCTTTTCCTGACCAGATACAAAAACAGAATCTTCTCACAATGCAGAATCTTTCAATGCCTCAACCAAACGTTACAGACACAAATTTGCGCAGTCATTACAGTCACTTACTTCGACTGATCCTCTGATGGCTTTTGTCTGTCAGCCAGTTTAACTTCTAATGGTCCTTTACCATTTTCTAGTGTGATTTGTGCACTACGTATTCCATCGATTGCTTTTTGAGCATCCTCTGGTCGAACGAAACGAACGAAACCAGCACCTAAAATGAAAAAGGTTATTGTGCATTTTATTAAGAATTTCTCATGATGGATTTCATCAGTGAAATCGTATTCATAAGAGAACATTTTATGACGGAGAAGCATCGGACATTTAGTTTACCTTTGTGGAAACCATGACAACTACCCTACAAGAAATCTAACCAAATACTTATGAGTTATCAATGTGGTTAGGGGCCTCAGTTGCTTCAGTGTTTCAGAGACGGTTTAGTGATGATAGCCAGCACGTACGACATATTAGGATAATGGCTTCCTGATGACTGCCAGCATGATTTTCAACCTCTAGAAAATCACGGTGTGACTCACAATGAGGAATCAACTAACGAACAGATACACCAACCTAGAATCTCGCACAGAAGGAAGTTATGAAGAGTGGATTCATGTATACAATGCAATCGACTGTATTTCTAAGAGCTGACTCTTACCATCTCGAGGAAGTTATCTATATGCGATATATTGACGCTATTCAAATCAACACTGAGAGACTTTAGACATGGTGCAAAAGATTTGTAGCTCAGGTGGATGATTTTGATGTGGTTGTGTTCTCTCAGCTGAATAGTGGTTTATTTGCGAAGATATCATCACCCCACTAGGCAACATCTTCAGAGCACACCTTTATTTGTTCAAGTGGGCTTTTAGATTTCTCCACGAGCTTAATAGTCATCTCTCCTCGTCACCTCACCTTGGACGTGATTAATATTGGAACTGATTGTTTCCTTGACTTGAACTGTAACCTTTTGTGTGTGTAAGATTTCCTACATATCGGTTGGTGAATAGTGTCTCTCTCGATGTGTCTATTGATTGATGATTCACTGAAATACCAGGCTGGCTTCTAAACATTCTCTAGCATTCTTGATGTTTCCTCTGTCTAATATCTGAAAGTTGGTCGTCCCAGTCGAATTGATGTCCGTGGTTGTCTTTATGTAATGATATGAGGGAGTGGATGTCATCATGTTTTCTGAGGGCTAGCTTATGTTCGAGGATACGAAGACGAAGGGGATGTCCACTTTGGCCAATGTAGTGTTTTTCACTGATGCAATTTATTTTGTAGATGATGTTGGTTTCATCTTCTTTCGTTAGAAAACACACAAGAAATCGCCCTACCATAATAAAGGACTCTTCAAACTCCTAGGAATTGACGTTGCACAAACCACCAAAATCACTTCACTCAGCTGGCTCTATGTCAACCAAAAGACTCATCATCAAAAGAAGATAAAACCAACATCATAAGCAAAATAAATTGCAACAATTGCGAAAATCACTACATTGGCCAAAGTGGACATCCCCTTTGCTTTCTTATCCATGAACATAAACTAGCCGTCAAAAGACATGACATCCACTCCCTCATATCACCTCACTGCATACAGACAACCACGGAAATCAATTCGACTGGGACAACCAACTTTCAGACATTAGACAGAGGAAACACCAAGAATGCTAGAGAATTTTTAGAAGCCAGGTGGTATTCAAGTGAATCATCAATCAATAAACACATCGAGATAGACAAAATTTACCATCGGATAAGAATGAAACCTCACACACACACACAAAGGACTCTCAGAATAACAATATATGTATTATGGATGTTTTATAGATTTTAAATGTCAAGGTTATTTAAGATGGTTGTCGAACACTTAAAAAAGAATTATTAGTGTTTTTTTCTTTCTATTAACGAAGCAACTTTCAATCTAATGCATGATTCACTTGACCAATCTAATATAATGTGATATCGATTTCTAATCACGTTGCTTGACAGTTACAGTAAACTTAATCTTGTCACCTAGGAAAAGGTTAACTTCAGAGAATTCTAAGCAATACAGAGTAATCTAAACTTTTGAAGTGTTTAGTAATATACAAGTTACATTGTGCACATGTTTTATCTCAGACTGTTCAGCTTGCTGGAATGGCACTTTGATAAGAGTTTTACCTAAAAAAGGTTTGAGTCAGACATGCAAATTTGTACTGAAAAAGCTTAGCACTTCAGTCATCCTACACTGAGTTCATTTGGTTATGAGTGACTGCAGCCAGAAGTAAAATCCCGTACTCATGACAAGGCTAATTCCACCACTTTACTTTGCGAAATCAGTCTTTTTCTAAGTATGTAATTCTTGTCTTTAGAACCCCCAGCATTTTTGTTTTCATTGCTTGTGTTACAAGTGGAATATAGATAGGGCTTTAAGCTTTTGGTTTTAAAGTTTTACTTCTTTTCACAAAGTGCGGCTGCTAGCCTAAAGCCCAACCTTTCATCTTCCATGAGACCTACTACGGATTGGTTAAGGTGATCAAACCTGTAGGAGTGCATATAGGTAACTCATTTAGATCAAATACTCCGTAGTGTACAAAATTTTTTCATTGGAAGAAAGGCATACTTCAGCACCTCAGTCTTAAGAAGAACAGAAAAGAAATATCTTCTGTCTTCCACAGATATAAAATAGCTACCTACGGGATATCATCAAAAGATGTCAAATCAAGCGGCAAGCCGAAAATTCTCCATATATGAAGAATATTTCTGAGATATAACAGCTAGGATATTGGAACTGTTTTGGATAATTGTTGCCTACAAACCGAGTACGGATGAAAACACCAGTAGTAGAAGAGGAAGAAAACACAACGGGGCATTACTGATACGACTCTCATAGAAACCCTTCACTGACTAAAGTTGACGTCCCGTTCATCTTCGCATCCAAGATCATTAACTAGTAATCAGAATGTATGACCTAAATACAGCTAAAGAAAATTCCATACTGTCTGGAGAAATCCAACTTAGCTTATAGTCACTGTATAAATGACAGATATTATACGATTGAAGTATCCAATACAGACCTACAGGAAGTCAACCATGAGCCCCAATAGGACAAAGGTAACAACTCTGACTGCACCACTAGGAGACACAGAGGGGACATTAGTTCCTGCAAGAAGGCAATTATAGCTTGTTGACGAGTGCCAACAATCACGAAATCTAGGTCCAAACCTTCCTACCGATGGCCTTCAACCGTTTAACTGATATCTTTATACATTTTTAGAGGAAATCAATATTCCAATGTTGGTTTGTAGTGATTTGATTAGCTACAGGACTTCATCGTTAGCTGACATTGGTTAGAGAGCGATTGGAAAACCTGGGAGTACTGGACAGCTGTTTCGTCCTAGTTTGGAACTCTCCATCAGAACGCACCCACCACAGGAGGGCGAACTCAGGACCTTCTGGTTACAAGGCCAGCGAGCCCGTAGACCATTAAGCCATTCGAACCCGATCTAATGGCCAGCCCGTGAATTCCAACTTCTGCCAATTCACGATATAGCGCGACCGCTAGCCAGTGTCTTCGGTGAGTATTTATCCTCACAACGGACCAGCTTCACCCTACTGGTGACAACTTCTCACTTCCCGGTGGGTGCTTACTGATGAAGAGTCCTAAACTAGGACAAAACCGCTGTCCAGTACTCCCAGCTGGTTTTCCAGTGGTTCTCTAAGTGATGTCAGCTCATGATGAAATCCTGTAAAGAAATCAATATATTTAAATTTACTATCGTGTTGAACTTATTGATTTTTTGTTTGCTTCACACCAGGGGATACCTAATTTAACGACATCATAGATGGATAGATATACACTAAAACCAGTATTTTACACAGGGATGGTGGGGAAAGACTACTGAAACACTCTTACCTGTACAAAAATTGTTCGATCGTTTAGTCATCACAATAGCAGTAGCAATTTGTCCATAAGGCTGGAATATCTCTTTCAAATCTTCAACATTCGATGCTGTCCATGATTCAGGTATATTTGTTATATAAACATTTTGTGGATCTTTTTCAGATTCCTGTAGAGAATAACAGAAAAGCAAAACGAAAACAGGAAAAAAATAGAAAAATAACAAAAAAAAATACTAATTTAGCAAATAAATGAAAAAGCGAACAAGTATGAAATAAGAGTAATATTAGTAGTAATAAAAATAATAATAATAGTAATAATAATTCGGCTAACATCAAAGATATCGAGAGATAAATAGCAATTATTTTTTGCTGATTGGTGTTTATCGATCTCCCTCCCTCCCCCTCCCCGTCTATCTCTCACATACTCCATTTTGTATTCAACAGTCAACAAAGAGCAGAGCAAAATGTGAACAGGACTCAAGTGGTATATTCATTGATTGGGTATTGATTCATGAATATTTTTTGTCATGTAAATGCTGTTATCAGTTTCAAAATTATATTTACTATGGGTTTTCTTCAAAAACAAAGAAAGAGGTTCCAGGTGAGTTCAAGGATTTACATCAATTAGGAAACCATTGAAAATCACGGATTATTAGACAGCTTTTTCGTCATGGTTTGAGACTCTTCATCAGCAAGCACCCATGGTCCAACAGCTGGGAGTTGAATCCACGACATTTGAGCTTCTAGACTGGGTAGTTGGTGCCCACTGCTGAAAACAAAGAGCTATCCAGTAGTTCGTGGTTTTCAATGGTTCTCCCATTGATGTCAAACTGTGATTTAACCTCTATCCAATCAATTGCCAGCAAACCAACAGAAGTTTTATTAACTTGCTAGAAATTTGATTGGTGCATGCAATTATCGATTTCAAAAAATGGATACTGAACAAAGAATGCTCTTTTGATAACCCCTTTTCATCATCAGGCTCTACAGTTATACATACATTTTAGTGAATGAATGAATTAGTGTTATGAACAACATTAGTGTTGTTTAAATAACATCGAATCAACAATATCAATAGATTACAGCTCAGTAGCATCAACATAAAATAAACTGAATGTCAGAAAGGCAAATTGGGAAAGATAATATTACAAATTCATGAATTTATAGTCTCTACTGAAGGCCAGCCAGGGCACTAGTAAGGGCTGGACTTGCTTCTTTCGAACACAGAGCACTAGTTGTTTGAGGCGAAACGCGATAGACTCTGCTAATTGGAGCATGTGGTGCTTCGATGATTTTGGCAGTTTATTAGGAACCCGGTAGATGATAGAGAAGGATTCTTCCACGCTGGCTGCTTTGTGGCTGGTTTGCACCAGATGGTCCAATATCGAACTGTTAATAGTTTTAACTACACCCTAACTTAGCCATACTGGGAGATGTACTCGAGCACGAAAAATCAAGATCCTAGAGCAACGGCCAATATAACTCGCTCCACAAGCGCGGTTGAATTGGTAGATACAATCTGAAGTGGCTAGTCTAGATACTTCATCTTTCAATTGAGGCTGCATTTTTACTTCTCTAACAGAAAGCAGTACACCGTATACAAAGGTAAATCATCCTCTGCTGTACTCACTGAAGCCGGATTCCCCCAAGGTGCTGTACTCTCCCCACTTCTCTTTTGCTTTCTTTCTACATGACTTACTATCTTCAAATGACATTAATTTTGTCAAATATGCTGACGACCTGACTGTATCTTTGCCTGTCAAATGTCAAAGCAACTGCTCTAAACTTAATGGCTTTCTGTTAGAAATCAGCCAGTGGTCCAAGGAAAACGGTCTTACCCTAAACCCCTCCAAATGCCAAACAGTCATTTTCACCCTTAGGCATAAATCCGACTTAAACAAACTGGTTGGCTCTCACGAGGTATGCAACATAGACGGCACTGAAATAGAAACCAAGTCGGAAATTAAATACCCAGGTGTCATTCTATCTGCTGATCTTTCCTGGTCGTCTCATATCTTAGCGATTTCTAAGAAAATATTCCGTCTTACCTTCTACATCAAGAAGTTAAGAAATTCTGGTATTACCCAACCCTTACTCCTACAATTCGTTAACTCTCGCATTCTGCCTATTATTCTCTATTGTTCCCCCTTAGTTTTTCCCAGGCTACTGACGAAAGACTATAACATATTACGCAGGATGTTAAAGGTTGTCAGCAGAGTAAGCAACGTGCCACTTAACCAGCTTGTTAATATTCTGGGCGACAGCCACATGGACTCATGCGAAAAATGGGCTAAATCCATTTTATTTAACTCACACCACCCTCTTCACTCACAACTCTCCCTCTGCATCTCATCAGGTAAAACCAGAAGCCTATATAGGAAACTATATGCTCGCACTAGCAAGTACAAAAACTCAACCATACCCTACTTAGCTCGTGTTCTATGTGATAAAGAAAGCATTAGGCGTGACACCTATAATTCATTAAATAGTCAGTAGAACAACTGGATCTCGTCTTTCCAACTAATATCATTTATAGGTACAACATTTTCTTTCTTTCTTTTCCTTTTCTCTCTCTCTTTTTTTCCGTTATGTGCTGCGTTGTTTCTTTCTCCCGCTTACACCAGTAAATATGATAGCACCTACTTTTCTAACATTTTCAAACACTGTTTCAGCTTTGGCTTTGCTACCGACATGCCAATATGTTGTTGTCATAATGAACTGAGATTTCCTTAATCTATGTAGAATTCTTTTTATTGATAATGTACTAACTGGATGCAATACTGTAGTAAAAATGCTGAGAATTCCATTCTGTATCACATGTACTGTTTTGGAATAAAGTAAATTATTATTATTATTATCACCTTCGGTCATGTAGAGAATCAAACTTGTAGTTCGCCAGAATTAAAAGTTCTTTGAACTGATTTTCTTAATTTCTTCGTAATTATTTCACTGAGTATATCGCCCTTGAATTGCAGTCATATGTAAAGTGTCTTCTTGTTTTATCGATTTGGTGGAATAGTTTAAATGATAGAATTCTAATTTCTTTGATTGCTTGATGAGATAGTGTTTAAGGCATTACTGAACTGGTCTCATTATTAGGGGATATGGATTCACTGGTAACGTCTCTGGTTGCTATACTAAGTGACTCAGACTCGAATCTCAGAAGAGACATGAGCTCCTTCAAGGTTGCAAATATGCCTTTCTGACACTGGTGAGTGCCAAATAGCATGAAACCGGGGTCCAAGGCTTCCTGCCGATTGCCTCTAACCGGCAAATATCATCAAATCAATGTTTGCACCGTGATGGCGAGCTATCTGGTGGCATGGTGGCCACAGTACAAAACTGACTGAAAGAATTCAGTCTGCATCAAAGATAGGACTAGACACATCACGCTGGTTACTAATGTCCAATCAAAGTAAACTACAGTGAAATTTCACTATTCGAATTGTGAAAATAAAGCTATTGAATTCTACTATCTAACAAAACTAAACACAAGATATCGAATCAAGTATGCGGTGAGTACTGATCAGGCAATATCAGTCGTCTTAAAGCGAAATAACGCAGGTGAATGAATCTGGTCCATTTTGACCTTTCAATGAAGAAATAAAATTATCTATTTGTACAGGCTCTACAGGCTGATAACAGTCCTGGAGGCAAGTTATCCTGATGCCTCTGGTTCGAGTCTAGAATTAATCCACTTTTCTAGGCCTGATGAGCAAAAATAAATTAATCAACTTATAAGTAGGCAAATAAACAACAATTGAGATAAACAAATATGGCGAGGTTGAGCCGGGGGGTAGGGGGTTGGGATGTGTGGTCGAATAAGAGAAGAGGGCTCAGGTTGACAAAGGATGAGCAACAAAAAGAGTGAGCCATGGGATTAACAACAATAATAAATAATAATAATTATAAAGATAAATTACATTAATGAATAGATAAGATTAATGAAGATTTAAATTGATCTGATCATTGACAGTTGGTTATACATAGTAGGATTAACTCAGTCAGTGTTCTCTTTAAACTATGCCTACGTTCGCCTCCAACTTCCACTGACCCACGCACCACCCTCACGTCTCTCGTTCTCACTCTCTCTTAAGTATCATCAATTACTAATAACTTGGATATCATGGAGATGATGAGAATATAAAGACGAGTTTGTGAACCGCACAAGTGAGACTGAAGGAAAAAATCTCTCATGTTATGCATATTCACTAAGAAGAAAATGCTATTTTCGGCTTCCAGCTTGCCCAACATTACACAATGGACTAAAAAGCTTGAATGCGAAGTGATCGATGATTGAGAATATAGAGAAGGGAAAGAGTCAATATATTTTCTTTAATGTCCTTAGTGTAACATAGGGCTATAAGCTAGAGGGTTGGAGCTTCTGTAGCAGTGGTGATTATTTTTACAAGATGAGGTTGCTAGTTTCATGCCTAACCTTCCCTCTTTACCAGTCTTATTACCGGTTTGTCGAGGTAGAAGAGTGCGTCGGCGGAGGATCGAACCCAGGACTATCTGCGTGGTCGGTGAGCAAACTACCGCTGTGCCACTGAAGCTCTAAGCTGCATCTCATTACTAATCGATATCAGGCAGGGAAGTATTAAAAATCTAGGAGCATTGAACCCCAACTAGGAGTGGAATTAAAGTAATTTAGATGAGAATTGATAGTGTTGCTTTCATGGTATGGAGTTTCTCACCTCAGACTCAAGCTTCTGTTTAACCTCGGTTTCCTGCTGGCTAGTGAAGTAGGAGACTTTTATTAGTACGCCGGCTCGAAAATCTAACTTTAGCCACATGCATGGTTAGCAAGCATCCCACCATCAAACCAGTGACATATGTATATATATAATTTTGTTTGGAAACTATTCACAAAGATAAAATGAAGGTTATTCATTGCTAACTTACATAAGCGAAATTCACATATAGTTCACGATTTCCGGATTTTATATGCAACAGAGCAGATTTAGCGGCTTCATTATTCACAAAGTCTATGAATCCATACACTGTAAAAAGAAATAAAGGTATGACAGAAGTTATAAGTCATTTAAATAAATAGAAGAGCTACGAATGTCGAATAAATTACTGAGTATCATTCGCCTGTGAAATAATGTTTCAGTTTCATTAGTTGTAATGGAGAAGCTGTGTAGATCAGGTGGATGATTTTGGTATGGTTGTGTCCTCTGAGAACTCCGTAAAGATGAAGAATTCGGTTCAGATTAATTCAACGACACAGCTATTGGTTGGTCACTAGTAAGGACATTTAATATTCATGGAAAATTCCCGATTGTAACATATAGAAAATCAAAACAAGTGGTGATTCAGCGAATCGACTCTTTTTAACGAATTCATTATCAAGCTGCACATGGCTTTTAAGAAGTTATATCCAGTGAGGGAATTGAATCAAATGTGTGAATGCATGAAATAATAATAGTATGAAATACAATTAAAATGTTTGCGATTATAATCATAGTTAAATGTTAAGGGGCAAAAACAATTAATGTTATATACAGAATAATTCATAGGATGGATAGAACTTGGGAAGAATGTGCAATTATACGATTAGTAGACAAATTGAATAAAATAAAAACGTTACGTAATATTGCTTGAAATTCGATAACGGAATTTAGTTTTTCAAAACAGAACTGATTTAGAATGACAAGTGGAACAAGTGAAATAATACCGGGGACAGTTCAAAGTGAGAATAGTAATAGTAACAATTGACGCAATAAAGGAAGAGTATATAAATTGAATAGACAAAAATAAAAATATGAAAAATTGGTAGAGCTAAAATATGATTGGGGATTACCATACTTTAGCATAGAGGGATTAAGACCATGAAAGTTGGAGGGGTTGAACGAACATTTTCTGTACACAGAGATCTGGCTTTTCTGTTTCGATAGCCAAAGATGGCTTCAGCAATACAGATGAGTCGGGTACGTAGTGATTTGGGTAAATTACTTTTTGCCATGTAGATGACTTTAAAGGCGGAAGCTATAGAGAAAGGGTGCTCAGTATCAACCAGATGTTCAATGATCGCGCTTCTTATTGCTCCACTTCCACGTCTTCGTAACCATGCAGGGAGATAGTGTTCTTGCAACCCCCTGGACAAAACTTGAGCCGAACTACAGATATACCTAGCACCATACGAGCAGGTGAATTGATAAACGCACATAGAGTTGGTCAACAGCGGGATCTTGTCCTTCAGGTTATTAAACAGTAATGGTCGACTAGTAAAGGCTATTCTTAGAGATGCAGCAAAGAATTTTCTTTTCAGGGACTATGATACCCTTCTTTTCATGATATCATACTATTATTATTTTATGCATTCACACCTATGATTCAATTCCCTCACAAGATATAACTTCTTAAAAACCATATACATATATTTATATATATATACCATTGTACAGCTTGACAATAAATTCACTGAAAAGTCTCTTCGCTGAATCATTTGTTTTGATTCTATATTTAATATTCTCGTTTCGTCTCTTTTAAAGCATATCAGCGCTTTCAGTACACGTATTTCAGTAAATATTGACTTCTCTTCTGAAAATTGAAGCTATTTTATTTGTTTTCTCGTAAAAATCAGTTTGTTTTCTAAGATTTTCTCAACTTATTTTGGTCCTAATGTTCCTAATCTCCGGTTTCAAATTTTGAAGTTTCTTCAGTGGCGGTGTTACTTTCGTGGGATGTTTGCTAGCCTAGCAGACTACCTCCATTGTTTCCGAAGTCTATTGACAGCTAGTAAAACAAGCGAGGTTTAGGAGTGAATCGAACGGGAATCAAACCTGAATCACTCGCTAGTAGGAAAGCTAATAAAACAAGTTAGATAGTAGCAATATTAGTAGTGTTAAAGTGCTCAGTATGAATGTATACCAGTAAACTAAGATCAAAAGGTCAACGGAGGACTTTACACAGGTGCATCATTTGAAACTGACATGCTTTGAAAGGTGAGTACGACAAAAGAGAACGGAAATACAGTGATAGAACAATATGATGACTTGTAGTCTGTTAGTTTTATGAGGATGGCAGGCATATAACTCAAACCTCTAGATGTGACACAGACTTAAAGTCAGCAACTTCATCGAATGATACTATATCTGGGTATGATCACCTTTAGCTCAGTTATAATCTAATTTTTTCTTAGCTAACATTCGTCTTCACAAGAGATTTGGTTATATAAAACGAATAAGACATCTCCAAGTTACTTTACTCGATAAACTGTCGCAACTTAATTGATTGACCCACATTTTAGCCAAACGCTCCACGTGCAACTTTAAAGTATTACATATCGTGCTGTTCCACACAACATGAACAAAATGAATGAAGACACCTGTGGTCATCTAACACATTTTTATTAGCCGTGTTTCAGTTATAATGAAAGGTCAGGGCAAATGTTTGTGTAGTACACATATGCTTTAAAATGCTTTTGTCAGTAACTAGTCAATTATGGTTGATGAGAGTTCCTCAGAGCAGAATAACTTTCTCCGTAATTAATTTAATGCTAGTTATAATGTTGAATACTTATCAGCTAAGTGACTGCATTCTCCATGATCATATCCGACCAACAGGTTCAACAATACCAAGACTAAGTTGTTTAACAAAGACACACAAAGTTGGTCACCAATTCCCTCAAATTCTAGATATTTCAAGTTACCGTTATCATTCTGTGACATTCTGTTTCACATCTGGCCACTTCTGTGTGCATATATCTGACTTCAAATTGCTGTGGAGTCAGGTAAATTGATCGTTTGATGCGCATCCTGTTCAAAAGAGTTCAAGAACACTATCCAACATGGTTGCAGAAAGGTAGTAGATGTTCCATAAGGAATGCCATAATCGAACACCTTGTCAACAATGATCATTCCATCTCAACAAACACCTTCTTCAAAGTAATCCAAAAATTGAAGAACAACCTACCAAAGGCAATTCTCTTTTATATATCGAAGTTCTCGTTGCTTACAGGATTTTCATCATGAGCTGACATCAGCTAGAGAACCATTGGAAAACATGGGAGTACTGGAGAGCTGTTTCGTCCTAGTTTGGGACTCTTCAGCAGTACGCACCCACCGGGATTCGTTACTTAGTTAGGAAAACCAGAACTATGCATACAAAGGAAATTTATTCAACTACTCTTAGTTTTTATCATAGTAACAACCTCGTTGATTTCTACTAACTTGATTCCTGTTTGCTTGTTTTTTCTAACTAAGTCGTGTATCTATTGTGAATTCCTACATAGTGTGATATTTTCCTTTGATTTTACGTGCATTCTGATTACTATTCATTCCCTAAATTATTCGTCCTATTTTTTTCCTTCACGTTCCCCAGTGAAGCATAGGGCTTCAAGCTAGTGGGTTGAAGTTTCTGTAGCAGTGTTTATTTTACAGGATGGGGTTGCTAGCCTCATGCCCAACCTTTCCTCTTTATCAGCATTATTTCTGGTTTAGTGATGTAAAGGAGTGCGTCAGTGGCCGGGGATCGAACCCCGGACCATGTGCATGATCAGCGAGCGGCCTAACCGCTATGCTACCGACGCACCATTTGTCTTATTACGCAATTCTAATAGACTTATTTAACTGCCTTGATGTATTGACTAATATCGACAACTATGACTGTGATAACTCATCACTTTTGTTGTTACCCTGTTTCATGAAAACAAAAGTGTATATAAATGCGATTGTACAGCTGAAGAGTAGAAGAAATTCGTCGAATATAACCTCGTTTTGGAACTACGTGCTTTGTCTTTATCAGTATTTATTATTCATAATGAAACAATCTAACTATACATTTAAATTTTTTCCCTCCGAATATACTTCATGCTTGTTAGCACTATGTAAGAAACGTTTTCGGTCAAGTGGACTTGCAATACAACTTCCGTTTGTTTTGTTCTTATATAAATATACCTTTTTAATGTATTCCCAGTCACGATTTCCAAGTCATGAGTGTGATTATTTTTTAAATGTCAGAAGAATGCTTTTAATAACATTACTGTTATTATTTATATCATAATCATTACGATTGTGAGTTGTAACGGCGTAAATACCTATGACATTCACTATCCTATTTGGTTAGTAAGTAATATGAACAGGAAAAAAGAGGTTTTTAATTGATTTTTAGATTTTCCCGTCGATTGATTGGACCGAAGTGCTCGGTCTCATGTTGACATGTTGGCTTTTTGTGCAGATGCTTCGACGATGTTTGGGCATTTAATTGATGGATGGTGATTAGCAGTGGAATGCAGGATGCACGTTTCGTCCTATTTGGGACTCGCCCACCGGCTGGATGTACCTGCATTATCCAGTGAGTGATGACGTTCCCACTGAGGCTAGAATTCAGTTCCCCTGTAGTGCAAAACGCACCAGTAACCTTGAATGCATACTAGTCGTTGGAAAGGGAGACCTACCATTATTACAGGACCAGCATAAATGCTATTTTTATGAATTAAGTAGCGAATTTCATCCTGATCACGTGTCTACATACTGTTTAAATAATAATTTGATAGAACATAGCCGTAAATGCTTACGTTTACATCCGGCAGTGTTTAGAAGGAAGTGATGGACATGTATTTAGGTTTCCACAGTCTAGGAAACAAATCATTGTTGGCAGTGGTAAGTTACACACTCTTAGATCGGAACTGCCACTACCATTACTGGGGATTAAAGACTGGAGTGAGATCAATGGCTGTAGAGACGGAAAATTTCTTAGTAGTTACCGTGCAATGCTTCTACTATTACAAAGATATATCATCCTGGAAGATGAATAATGTCACGCAGCTGTTAGGAGGAGTTGGTGTTACTCTTCACTCCTATGAAATAGTTCTCATAAAGAAGATATATAACTGTAGTCGCCCTAGGGCAAATGACTTTTAGGTATTATGAATTCATGACACGAAATTTCAGAAGGGAATTATGGAGGTAATTCTAAATCGTAGTTCAAACACCCTTCCACCAAGGGTTATACAAGGGTTAGCCATTTCTGGCACTACTATTCATACGAATCAATAGCCGGGAGATAACAGCCTATCATATTTAGGTTTTGTCCATCATCGAGTGAGCCATTCTGATGACTTCATCTGCGCCTTTGTTTGGACCCATACAAATGCAGTCGAGGTCTTCTGCGGTAGATTGAAAAAGTGGATAAACTAGTCACAGAAGGAACTTATCTTCAGTCATATTGATGAATATGTGTATTGACACTGGCTGAACTTAAAAACTGAGACCCTTCATTATAACTGGGACGCGCTTTTGAGTCTATTCAGAGAAAAATACCCTGTTTTAATGAGTTTTCATGTACTTCTGTCGTAAATAAATTTCAGTTGTATATAAAAACCACTGGTTTTTCTGATTGGTCACCTCAGTGTCAATCGTGCGTTCAGATTCCACGGATCTAGACAGTATAACTTTACCAGGAGGAGAACGAAGATCAACCGACGCCTGATACTTTTAGGTTTTAGATATTTAATAGGAATCTCTGCATCTGTTTTCACACCACAATACCTATATTTAAATTCCAAATGTGTAGATGAGTGGATAAATGAGTGCCTACATTGTACATAAATCATGAGATATTTTCATAGTCAGAAAACTGGCAGAATAATACAAACTAATCGTGAGTATACATAACAGTGTGCTCTCATTCTGTGTAGCGAATTGTTTCTCACTTTATTTAAGTTTTGATTTTTCTAAAAACATTTATTACAATAGTGCTTACTTTCTCCTTCAGCTCCAGTGATCAATTTAACCGATCGTATCAGGTTACGATCTGGTGCCAGTGTGTGTAATTCTTCTTCTGTGAATGTAGTCGGCAGTCCACGAATGTATAAGTTTGTTTTCGATGCATGCTAAATTAGGTAAGAGAGATAAGAATAAATCAACAGTAACAACGTCAATGTAAGCAGAATAAGGAGAAAAGAGTAAAGGTAAGCTTCACTTTACTAGTGTCTAGTTATTAGTAACACAAATATATCAAGTTTATTATGAACCAAGGAAGACTGAACAGATTCTGCACCCTGAGCAGGGAAGTCTCAGCTCAAAACCCCAACAGGGATTTCATGAAGAAGCTTCCATCAACGAGCTAACTAAGCTGGTGGCAAGAAAATTTTAATGACTTTTCTGGTTATAGCAGTTAGAAGGTCTGTACTTGTACACTTGAAACTGATTTTTTAGTATCCCTACCGATAGCTGCTTCCTTGACGTGGTGGTCGCCAGGCTTGCACATCGCGATGACCCAACAAACTACACTGGATGGAACAATTGTTACTGCAGGTCTTACCATACCACGAAGGTTGTTAGGATAGTGATTAGGCTAAAAGCAACTACCGGCATTGTGTAATAAATTTTTTACACTATGTAGGGGTTCTGTGGGCGAAGTCGTACTGCTAAGGAACAGGGATGTAACAGCAATGAGGTGTTTCCCTCAGATGACCAGCTTGCCAGCTATGCTGTCTCTCCACGCCGGAGAGAGGGGGCTAGAAAAGGTCGACCCCTAAAACTGTACATCGCGACTTACCCTACGGTGGTCCGTAACCAGTGGTAATTTTACCAATACGTAACCAAACCAAGAAACTAGTTAATACAGGCCGTGTGTGATCGGCCTCAAGCAGTTGTCTCCTGAGCTCTGCAATCACGCAACACTAACCCTCTTTCTGTTTCAGGTACCCGAAGAATCAATCAACTTCCATGGTGTGGGCAGTGGAGAAGTAACAACCACACACACACTTCTAAGAGCACACGGAGCCTCCCTGAGCATCATTCCTTTACCGATTTGTTAGTGTACTCGTGCACTACTCAGTCTATAGCTGTTTTTTTTTAATTAAATCTAATTGTTATCTTAACAGGTAAATCAATTTAGACGATACTGTGGAATGAACTAAGTTTGTCACTAACAAATTACACAGTTCCACGTAACAGAAGCTCGATAAGCAGAAACTGAACGATTTTCAACTGATTTGGCTGTTAGAGTTGAACCTAATCGGATACAATGCTGGTTATCTGTAGCACAAATGGATAAAATAACCATCCAGTTTTTTAGATCCTTCTGATATGGCTAGTAAGCGAAAATATTAGACGTGAGTGATTTCTGACTGTTGATGTCAGTCACCTTCTTACTTCATTTTTTGTGTTCTTAGTGAAACACTGGGTTCAAGGCTTCCAATTTGCATCAGCACTGATGTTGTGTTTGAGGAATGAAGTCGCCGACTTCCTTTCTACCTTCCCTGTCTTCCAGAACTGCTATTATCTACAAGGTAGGCGAGGAGTCTGTTGGTTGGGAATCAATCCTGAACCACCTCTCTGGCTGGAATGTGTTTTACTACCACATCACTCAACAATTATTTTTTTCTATCATTATGCGTTTCCAGTGGAAAAAAGGCTTCAAGCTTGAGCTCTGAATTTTCGTTAGCACTGGTGCTATTCATTCTCACGTGGTGTAGTTGCTGGCCCGACGCTCTACCTTCCCTCCTTACTGGCCTTACTTCCAACTTGGAAAGGTTCAGGAGTAGTACATCAGCCGAGGATCAAACCCCGGACTGCATGGGGGTGGGTGTTCTACCCCGGAACCACTGATACATCGCTCAACCATGTATGCATATATATATATATATGTTAACACAAACAATTTACCTTTTTCTGACGATTTGCAGCACTCTGATTATTCATCGCATTATTGTATTCATCCAAGAAACTGGATACTAAACTTTTACCTGCATACTTTGAATGATTATTCCCTGAATTCGACAGTTTTCCAGCGCCTGTCCCTGAACGCGTTGATTTAGCATTACCTAGCAGACTGGGTAAGTCATTTGTAAAACGACGTAGTTTAAACTGGTCATTAGAACGATTCAGTAATGAAGAGACACCTTGTTGACTGTTCTTTTGTTTTGTCGAATTGTGGTTGTTATTAACATTATTATTACTACTATTATTATTACCATTATGATTATTAACACCATTCTCTTCAACATTTGAGGCAGTATTAAAACTTTGATTCGGGAAAACATTTGATATCAATGGTTGAATTAATCCCATTGAAGGCAAAGGAAATGGGCAAGAAGGATGCAAGATAACGCCTTGATTAGACGGGAGTACTAAAGGATTAGCTGATGCATTCTGCAACTGTTGACTACCATTTTGATTGTCTACAGTAATTTGATTTGGTATCCATTGATGAAAACCGTTAAGAAATGATGGTTGTATAGGCACTGAGTATCCTGATATCAGCTCACGACACTGGCTGTTATCTGCCTGTTTCAGCATAGCACTGTAATCTGTGCTTGAATATAATTGATATGGAATATCATAATTCGAGATACAACCGTTAGTTCGTAGTGTCATAGGATTGTTACCATTAGTATTACTACCATTATTACTGTTATTATTGTTACTACTATTATTATTGTTATTACTGTTGCCTCCGTTGACCTGTGAAGCGATGAATGTCGGTGTACTGCTGTACGTTACATCATTTGACACAGCTGTTCCGTTAAGACGACCGACAGCAGTAGGAAAAATCACTGTATTACTTGGAACAGCAAATAGCTGCCCTTCATTATTATAGAAATAAAAGAATGTTGTAGGAGTTGTTAAATATGAATCAGGATTTGGAATGTAATTCGGTGTCACTCCTGTTCCACTCGTGGTTGATGTTACTGTCCCGACAGAGGATGACAATGATACTGATGCCACTGCAGCTGCTGCTGCAGCAACTGACGTTGATCCGCCATTCATCATCTCTTCGGTTTGTATCTGTGATGTATCGATCTGGATTGAATTAGTAATTACTGAAATCGGTTGACCTAATGAATTCGTCATATTCACAACCATAAGATCTGGGCTCAACTCGGCTGGTGCATACTTAATACTGCCTATTTTATCGAAATTATTTTCTGAGCTTGTTAGATTGTCAGTTTTATTCACTTTACTGTTGATGCCTTTATAGACAGATGTATTAGGCTTCGTTGTTGTATCATTGATGCTTAAGTCTTTTGCAGAAGCTGGACGATTATCAAAATTCCCGCTGGCACAATTCACTGCGTCGTCAGGTGTTAATGAGTTCAGCTTTGTCATTGATTGAGATATTGAATTGGTTAAGGATTTGTTTAAATTATTACCATTGGTAGCAAGCGGTTGAGTAGGCTCACGTTTTGAATGATTCACTTCATCAGCTGAAATAGACATGTGATAAGAAAAGTATTAGTTTCTGCAGCATCAGAGATAATCGGTACAAAGAATTCAAGGCTAGGCAGCAAAGATCTACAAAATATAATGAACCTTTGCAAAAAATCATGAAGCCTACGGAAATATCACTATTTGCCGGTGATATCATCTATTATGTATAAGGCATGTTTTGTTCATCAGTGACTCTTGCTTGTTAGATGCTTGTTCTGAGAACAGTAAGTCTCTCCTGACCTTCCACCTTCAATGGCTTTTCTTTTGACATATAAAACTTATCATTATTCTGATTCGACATCAATTAACTGGTGTCATGTATCGTGTTCTTTGCTTTGTGCAGAATGAATTCTATCAGTCAAGTTCTTAATGTGGCCATCATGCTGGGTGGCTCACCATCATGGTGCACTACGAATTGTTGATATTTGACTTCTAGAGGCAGTCGACAGAATGCCTGACCAGACCTAGGTTTTGTGGTAGTTGGCACTCGCCAGTTTCGTAGAGCGTACTTGCAAACTTTAAGAAATCCAAGTCCATTCTAAGATTAAAACCCGGCACATCCGGTGCCGTATTCAGAGACTTTGCCATGGAGCGATTCGGGCTCGCGACAGATATCCTAACTGATAGAAATCAGTCTAGACCAAACCAAGGACTAGACGCAAGATACTCGTTGGTGTCCGATTAAAGCGTCCAATATATTCCCACAGAAGGTAAGTAACGAGCCTGAATAGCTCATTGGTTATGTCTTTGACTGCAGAATATGGGTGGCGCGGGTCGAATATGCCTTGCTGACTGATGACTGCCAGCAAGCACAAAACCTAGGTCTGGCTGAGCTTCCTTCCGACCGCCTCCAACCATCTAATCTGAAAGTAATCATTATACTACTGTAGACACTACTGATATCTACTTATAAGTAGCATTTGCGACACTTTCATGGTCTATGATAACTCATGAGAAATATGCCACAAAACACAAAAAATCAATGATATAGAGACCGAAATGTCAACTATAGTGACTACATTTTTGTAAGTTGGTGACTTTTGTCTCTTGCTGTGGTACTAGAGTACTTGTGTAGAAAGCGTTAACAAGTAATTCACGCCTAATCTTTAAGTTGAAATTTCATCTTAGAAATAAGTGTATAGCGAAATTCAAAGTGTTTAGTTTTTTCCATTTAGTCTGGATGGGTACAAAGAGGATCATTTCAGTTTTTTAGGTTAAAGAACCGAGTAACAAAATACACTTGCAAATAAACAGATGTTTTTCTTCTCTAGAAATACCAGAGAGTTTCTCGGAAAAAATATATCTTGTACGTAATTCTACTGGCGATTGCAGCATCGACTTGTGTGAAGGAAAAACATCGGTCAGAGAAGCAGTGACGGCTAGATAAAGCATCAGACAGCTATTTTATTCTAGCATAGGATTCTTCACCAGTATTTCTCATGACTTCACCTAGGAACTCAGCTCGTGCCAGGATATTTTCTTCTTATTTCTAATTCCTTTACGTTCCTAGTGGAACATAGAGCTTCAAGCTTGAGCCATGAAGTTTCATTAGCAGTGATGTTCACTTTTTAGCGGTTAGTGTTGCTAGCCTCACTGTTTGATGGTCCCGCAAATGGTTGGGGGGGTTAAGGTGTTCGGCAGCTGAAAGTCGAACTCCAAACCATGTGACGTGTGGTTGAAGATCATTCTATTGCTTCAACACAGACACTAATCTAGTGAGATGAAAATCCTGGCTGCGTGCAAATTAATATTCTCAGAATAAGATGAGACAGAGATTCATAACGAAATGTTTACCACGATATCCTTTATTCGGGCGAAAATGTTAACTTTAGTTGAGGTCGATTTAGATTTAAAAGACTAATGCTGATATAACGAATGAAATAGGAATGTAGGTCGCATATTTAACAACCATCAGAGAATAAAAGCTTTCATAGATGAATTCTAAGTGTTATCCATAATACATCATACAAAACTTTTCATGAGACAAAACATTCTGAGACTGTCAGAATCTCTCACTGACTGTTCTTTAGAAACACGACTTGTGGATTAAATCATAAATATATAGGAGATCCTTTTATTCACATATTTAAGAAGCATCGTCTCAACTGCAGACGACTCCATGGATGGGATCATAGAAATTAGAATTGGAAAGGCAAGACAGACATATATCAACCTGAAATCGGTCTGGAAATCTTCTGCACGCAGTACAAGCAACAAAACTAAGGTTTTTAATACCAGTGTTAAGCCAGTTCTTCTATATGAGTCAGAAATTGTACTGAAGCGTCACCATAAGCATTATCAACTGGCTGCAGACTTTCGTTGATGTTTCTTTTCTCTCCATACTGAAGATCGGATTGCTGACCGGAAAGAATTAGCAGATAGAAACTCTGGGAACTAACCAATCATGGGTACACGCAGAGGCAACCGTCGGGTAACATCGAATTTCAGGCCTTCGAGTGGAACCCGAGTTAGAAACAGCGAGCTGAGCCTGAGTTTAAGGGTGACATGGAGGAGATCGTCTCAGGGAAAGATGACGGCTTACTGGCAAACATTGAGGCAGCTGAAGTAGACTGCAGAAAACATGACGAAATGGAGATGCGCTGTGGAAGTCGCATGTTCCCCTGAGAACACATGGGAATAATATATATATGTATATATAAGTGTTGAATTGATTTCATTGTATTTGAAATGGAATTTCTACACTGATTAGTTACCGAGGAGTAATCATTACCATATATTTGGACCTTGGTTTCAGTGATGACTTAATTCTGTCAGTCAGTTTAGTAATATCATCGTCAAACTAGGTGACCTATTATCACGACACACTTCAAAATTTACGCTACATTATTGAAGGTGATTGGTAAGAAACCCTAGATCTAGGTTGTAGGCTTGTTGGTGCTTGTAAACCTCCTGGAGACTCGAACATCGTTAATCTATTTCTGTGGCTAGATACGATACCAATAAACCATTCAGGCTTACGATTGACCTCCTATAAGACTGTAAACGGTTCACTGAGTAACCGTTATCATGCGTCTAACATCTTTCTCACTTATCCCGTCTTACTACCAGCCAGACAAGTTTTAGACGTGCGTCATTCATAAAATAAAAACCTATCCACCCTAGTGGTGGTGGTTGGTGGGCGTCCCCTTGTTTGAGGCTGCTGACGCTACTTAGCTTTATCTATTATCCCAGATTTCGAGTTATTTACTTAAGAAAAAAAATTAGACCTTTTTTGTAAACAGCAGTAATCTGGTGATAATAATAATGATAATAATGATAATAAATCACAGTTTTAACATTTGGTCTCATGAATAAAAAAAAGCAGATTTCATAAATTGAATATTTATCCTATTTGATAAATGAATGGTTGCCTAGGTTATGTATTGATCATTTGCTATCCATTTTATTGCTCTTTAATTCATTAAAACAACTCCAATCAATTGAAATTCGAATTCCATATTTTTTTTTGATTTTTTGATTATAGCTTGAAACCACACAGTATTTTTGGTACAAGTATGGAATTTTCAGCATATGATATCGGTAGCCCAAATTTTCGGGCCAACCATAGATATCAGGTGTGCGTCGGCAGGGGATCGAACCGTGGACCATGTGCATGATCGGTGAGAGTCCTAACCGCTGTGCTACCTTATTTATTGTATATTACGAATTAAGTAATTACATAAATTCTCATGACTTTTGAAATATATATACCATTAATGTAATTATTTATGGATTACATATGAATTTATATTTGTGTATTTAATTTTAGAAAGTCTGAATCATCAATCTCTTTCTCTGTCTCACTTGATATTTTCTTTGTTATAGTAAACATTATGACATTTTGAAATACTTCCTCTAGGCCGTTGAAGACCTACTCCCGACTTCCATAGATCTGTTTTCACATTTACTAGTTCATTAGTTTATGACCATGTTTCAAAAACAATTTCTTTATTCCCTTACGTTCGCAGTGGAACATAGGGCTTCGAGTTTAGGTTTTAAAATTTTGGTAACCGTGGTGTTTATTTTTACAGAGTGGGGTTGCTAGCCTCATGCCCAACCTTCACTCTTTACTGGTCTTATTACTGGTTTATCGAGGTAAAGGAGTGCATCGATGACCGGGTTCGAACCCTTAGCCACCTGCGTGGTTAGCGAGCATTCTATTACTGTGCCACCGACGCACATTTCGAAGAAGTAGATTATGTTATTGTGTGTGGTGATCAAATTGGTTTCAGTCGTTAGTTACGGCCGTAGATAAATACATTTTCAGAAATTTTTAACTGCAGTCGAACAACGAATACTTTCCAGCTATAGATACACATTCAGATTACACAGGTTTATAGGTATTTGGATTAATTTCACTGCAGGTTCCAACAAAATCTATGATCTGAATATCACTCCCCAGTTGATTAGTGACTACTAGATACAGATGTTCTGAAGTCCTGATGAAAATTCCTAGCCAGTGAAGTCCTCCATGTCAGGATGAAGTTTAATTGCTTGGCAGTAGTGTTATGTTGCAAATTACCAGGCGCTGGAATTCATGGTGGCTGATTGGTCAGCCGACTGGATTAGTAACTCTAAGGTCGTAGGTCCTGGCTTTCAGTGATTTGGGTTCATGAACACTGATATAAGTTCATTGTTACACCAGTAAATGGAGATCTTACTGATCCGTTTTTGAAATGAATTTTAAAACATTTCAGATAATCTTAAATATTTATTAAATCACCTCGATATTTAATTCCTCAATCATGTGATTACTACATTATTTTAAAAATTTTAATAGAAATCTCAGCAGGTGTTGCTTGATTGTAGTATGCGCTTGTTTTAATTTTTTTCCATTTTCTAGAAAGATGACAAGTTTAATTACTACCGGTGAATCCTTATCGTCATATATGTTTTTTTGCAAATAAGTTCGTTTAATACACAACACAACTTTCTGATAAATAAATATTCTTTCACTTTTTTGTTTTTTGACTGTGCACGTTTAAAAATAGATTTT